CCCCGTTTGCACTATACCGGATTATTTTTCATACCGGATTAATTTTTACTCCGAAGTAAAAAATCAAGGGTGTTTACACTATGCCGCTTTGCTCTGTTGCCAGCTCATGTCTTTCACTGTCGCCATGGAAACAAGTAGCCAATATACCAAAATTTATTAAAAACAAGAAGTAACACCCGTTTTCTTTGTAAAGTATAACTTTGTTTAAAAAGCTTGACCACCAGACGTTGCTTCGTTTCGCTCTAATCCAAAATTTCAGAGTATTTCTTTAAATTTTGCTCTTTCGAAAGCAAAAAGTCAATGTTATTATCGTTTTCTTTACATGCATTCGGCAGAAATAGTAAATGGTTGCAAGGCGAAACAAACAACTGCTATAAAGTATTGTAAAAGCGAGCAAATAAAGGCGACAATGTTAAAACATACACGCCGGATTAGCCTGTTTACACTGCTCCGGCACATACCGGATTACTTTTCATATCACCTCCAAAGCGGAGTGATTTTTGCTCCGCGTCGCGTACCGGATTACTGTGGCGTAGTGTAAACAGCAGCCGAATCCGGTATGAAAATCGCTACGCTCCGATGCAATCCGGTATGGTGTAAACGGGGCCTCAATTGCTGACGTCATTAGAATTTTCCATTTTAGAAAAACACTGCGCTATATATCTTTATTTTGTCTGGTGACCTATGTTCAAATTTGCATGCTGTATTGCACCGCTAAAAACTTTCTTTATACAAAAAATAAAAAAATTCTGTAATGCCAAAAAAATTTTACCGAAGAATACGACATTTTGCATTTTCCAAAAAAATGGTATTACAGAATTTTTTTTATATTTTGCTAATTGTTAGCTTTTCGTCGAAGTGAAATAATGCTCGAAAAAAATTGGGGGTCACCATGCTTTTTTCTAACTATACGAGACGATAGGCCATTTTGGAGTGAATTTCGTACACGTATGTCGTCATAGCAACGAACTATCTGTTACTAAAGCTAATATAATATGAAAGTAGGGTTATCAAAATATATAAAAAACCCAATATCTGCTGAATAAATCCTAAAAATGCGTAGTTTGAACATGTCAAAGTGTTAAACACCTGAATTTTTGAAAACTGTATCGAGCCACCTTAAGAACGAAGCAACAACATATTATATTAATATAGGCTATTGCGTCGTTTCTTAAGAACGAAGCAAGAACATATTATATTGATATATTGCGTCGTTTCTTAAATTAAGAACGAAGCAACAAATATTATATTTATATATATATATATATATATATATATATATATATATATATATATATATATATATATATATATATATATATATATATATATATTCACGACTTTCGAATATCACGAGTTGTTCAGTGCGAGAAGTCGTGAAATTTCACGAATTTAACGAGTCGTACTAATATTGTGAAGGTCTTACTAATGGCTATAAACCACGACTCGTGAATTACGACTTTCGAGTTTCACGAGTTGTTAATTGCGGCAGTATTGCCCATGTTTGGGTGTCCTTGATGCTTTTGAAAAATACACTTAACATTTCTCTTTTCGTTTGCAGTTTCCTGTTTGGTTTGGCATTCGTGTGCTTTATTCTAGCAGATAAAGGTATTTACCGTTATTTAAATTTTGAGTTACGAAACAGGCTTAGCACTCCTGCTGAGGCGTTCACTTTGGCTGTATGCATGCGTATGCAGGCTTGGACGGGATTCTTGCCAAAGTGTTTCGACTTATATTGAAAAAAACTAGGTCACTTTTATTACAAAAAATGGAAGAAAAATAGAGAGACATTAAACGAGAATACAACAAACATTTGTAGAGTAATGAATTTTGATACCCTGTGTCTTCATTTGACCGGTCATACATTTTAATTTCAAAATTGGTACGCACGTCATACAAGGTACTGCCTTATGTATAGTATAGAGTACCATTAAGAGCATAAAAATCAGGCGAAATACTGCAGCATAAGAATAGACTGTTCACATTTTGGGCGATACCAATATTTGAATATCTTTTCCAGGTGTTGTTTGACCTAATACAGAACAGTCTTAGTGAATATAGTGTGTTAGTACTGATTGTTCTTCTCTTACCATGATTCCACCCGATCAATATATAAACTGTAACATAAGACCATAAATATTTTATTGTTTGGTGTGTTGTGGTTCAGGCTACGAAGCGAACTATGCGAATTTCAATCATGGGAGTTTACCATCATTTGTCGTTCCAGTTACACCTACAGTGTTCTTAAAGAGAACTATTACCATACTGCATACAACTTTATAATATAAGTGGGATATACAACTTTATAATATAAGTGGGATATAACAGACAATATGATTGGCTAATGCGCGTTCATTGTGTCGCAATAATGCACTGTGATTGTCACCTGGCTTGCTCTTTGTGCATGTGTTTTCCACCGCTTCATCTCTGCTTTTTAGCCAAATATATAAAAAACTATAGCTTTTTTAAAAATACAAAATTTATCGATCAGAAGGCATGAAGGAATAGACCGACAAAACAAATCAATTTCATATATAATTCTGCGTGTAAAAACTGTAAAATTAACCGGCTTGGAATTCGTCGAATTTGTTTTTTCTCGGCAAATTTTGGGCAAAAGCGTGCGCATGCAAAATAGCCGAGAAAAAAATTTGAAAAAGATACAGGAATACCAAAAACAAGGAAAATGGAGAACAACTAAAAATGAACAAAAGTAATTTAGAAAGTACCTTCAATACTTGTGATAAAAACTGCTAGATATAGTTTCGGCGAAAGACCAAAATATACAATAATTAAAAAATAAATAAAACTGAGCAACAAGACGAAACCTACGATTTCACGTCTTTCATGGCATATCCAGCAGCCTAGACACTTTGTTTATCACTGTTTTTTATTTCCAGAATATTAAGCAGTTTTTCCGCAACTTTTTACATCAAAATGTTATCAAAATTTTGTATTGTTTTTGCTCGGTCGCTCACTTCACAAATTCAAGCGACAGTAAAACCAAACTCTTGACGTCATTGAGTACATGTTTGGAGAATTTCGAAGTCGGTCTTTTGAGTAAAATAGTTTACTATGTACAATATCTTCTACTTATATTATTAAATAAATAGAAAAACTCGTCTCGTGCGCGAGAATGCTCGAGGAGCATGTAAAACACTCGAACATAAACGCATGCGACTCGTTTTCGGTTTCTTAAGTCCAAAGGCCTGTTTTCCAGTTCAACTGTGTCGAAACATACCATACGATTTAGTAATATTACTGTATTGTTGATTTTGAGTCTCGTAAGAACAATATTGAATTTGTAAGAACAATATTAAATTTTGCAGTCAGTGAAACGAAAAGGCAGTCATAATGCTGCTTAAGGATTGCATGCGTTTTAATAAACCGTGCATCATGGCGGCTAGTTATGCTTTCAGACCGCTCTTGATTTTATTTTATCAAAAAACAAAACAAATACATACCTAGCGAGTAATCGTACTTCGTACTGGTTGTAGAGCAGGTGCATTGGTGACTTATCTTCGGTTTTGTCCGACAGGTTGTCTTGTTTTAGCATTGACGCGGAGCATTTTGGGAGTAAAGTCAATTTCTCAAAGAAATAATAATATTAATAATAAAACACAGAAATTTGGGAAACCTATATACTTTGTCTATGTCTATGTACTACATTGCCGAAATATAATTATGGATAAAAAACGGCCGCGCTTCCAGTGTAGTGTGATTATTTTCATAACGCTAATATATAGTGTACATCTGTTCTTTTATTTTTGTGATTTCTTACAGGTACTGAAAATTTGATTTTTCCTGGAATGTTTATGCTCTCATCTGGTGGCCTCGTCCTTGTATCGACTGTTTACCAGGTAATATTTGTATATGAAGGTGCTGCTTACCTTCAGTATGACTTCTGGTATGTGCAACACAAGGTCTCTGCTATGGATTTATTATTGGAGGGGCCATCACGGAAAACTGACCTAGCTAACTAGGAGGTGATGAGCTCATTGAACTACAGGGTGTATAAAAAAAAAGTAATCGAACTTCAGCGCGCTATTATACGTGAATCACTCGGCGTATGAACAGAGCAGTGAAAAAAATTCGGTCAAAAGTTTGTTTTAGAGCAAAAATTTGCAAGAAAAACACTTTTCCCATGGGAATACTACAATGAGTGGGATCCAAACCAGGTTTTCCGATTAGTTACAACTGTTTTACATCTCTCTGCACCAAAAAGTGTGGATGAAAATGACGAAAGTTTGGACGTGCCGAAGGAAATCTCGCTCTTCAACTCAAAATATATACTATAAAACATTTTGACAGTCCAAAACTTATGTTGTACTAAACCCCAAGTATTGTTATCGATCCTGAGCTTTTAGTCCTTGTTTTATTCCTTCTAGAACATAAATAAATTGTAAGTTCTTTGTAGGTTTGCATGGCGATAAAACATATAATAGTTTTTGTTTTTGGAAACACCATATTATTAGCACTGATGAAACATCATATTATTAGCACTGATGAAGATCCAGGCTTACGGATCGAAAGTTTTGCAGTAATAAATTTACGTGGTGTTTCCACAAACAAAAACTATTATATAAATTGGCATTTTTGAAGTGATGTTATTTTCGTCATCGCTCTTCTTGTTGGCCACTATGAGCACACTATTTTTGTCAATTTTTAAATGCTTTTTTTTCGACCCTAAACCTTCAATCCTCTTGAAACTTTGCATACAGATGTATTTTACATGGGTTTAATTAATTCCTGAGGCATGACGTCTTAGTTTTAACTTAAACTTCCAAAAACTCAGAAAAAGCAACTTAAAACGCGCAGTTTTTCTGACCGTTCATGCTTATGGTGGTGTTTTTTTGTATTTTTTTTTGTTATTTCGTGATTTGTTTGCTTTGCGAATATTAAATTCGTTTATCATACTACTGATATAAATTAAATTCGATGATATAACTAGTATTTTGGGGCAATATTTTTCTGGTAAAATATGCGCATATTTTGAAATAAAAATTAAAAAAGGACGGGTCTACTTACAAAGAATGCTTCGAGCACGGCTTCAACTCCCCAAACCCCGGACTTAGCCTTCCAGTTTATTTATAGTTCAATGGAT